ACAGGTTCTTGTGCGTTCTCTGTCTCTCCATTGTCCAATCCCATTTCCAATCTCCTTCGAGCCAACAATTTCCCAAAAAAAGAAAAAAAAAGAAAAGACTTTGGCCCATCCGCCGACCCCACTGCAGCACTATTCTTTGTCATTAAAAGGCTGAATTCTGTAAGGCAAAGGGAGCACCGAGGCACCAAGTGTGTGTGTGTATATATATATATATATCTACACAAAGAGTAAAAATAATATTATTTTTTTTATAATTTTTTTATATAAATCATATATTGAGTTTCAATTTTAAATTTTATAAGTTTTTTTTATTTCATTCTAAAATTTTATTTATATTTGTTAACATATATATTGTAACAATAAATAATAGTATACTTTGTGTTTCAAAATAATATATATTTTTTATTTAAAATTTATCTCAGAATAATAGTCATTTTATTTTATTTTAAAGAAGACTTATAGTTTTTTTTTTTTTTTGTTTTAACCTTATGATTATCTCTTAACTTTAATTATTTATCTTTTGATTGAAGTAGATATTTATTTTTAGTTATTTTTTAACTATGAAATAGTTAAAGATAGAAATTATTTCCAAATTTTTAATATGAAAATAAAACAAAAAATTTATTATTTTAATATAAAGAAAGTAATATTTAAATAATGAAACTTATTGATTTTTTATTATCACAAAAAATTATATAATTTTTTTAGGATTTAAAATTGTTGAGACTACAAATAAAATTAAATATTACGATAATATTAAAGGACACAGGAGAATCATAGGTTTATAGTTTTATTTACAAGTTAATTATTTTGATACTTATTTTTTCAGTTTCTATAGCAACAACAGAAAGAGCATTTTTTATCATGAAAATTGTGAAAACAAGATTTCGAAATAAAATAGAAGATGAATTTCTTTCAAACTCTTTGATTGTTTATATTGAAAAGGAAATAGTTCAGACATTTAGTGTAACTCCATTATAGAGAGATTTCGTAATATGAAAACTTGTCGAATATTATTTTAATTTATGATATAAAAATAATTTTTTGAATTTATAATGTATTACTGTGAGATTTGATCTGCCCCCTACTAAAATTCGTGGCTCTGTCACTGCATATATTCTAATGGTAAAATTATTTATATTTTTAATTATAATTTTAAAATTCAATTCTTAACTTCTACTTATAGAAAAAGATGGATTTATATAATTAGGAAGTCTCGAGGAAATATTAGTATACGTAGAAATTCTACTCTTTTGAATTATCAAAGTAGTTGGTTTCACATATAGGATAACGTCATTTCCTCAAAAAATGCACCCAATTTCCTTTAGGAGAATTGCCGAGAAGTTTCAATGGCTATAGTAATTATGTTGAAAGAGAGTGGTGTTTCGTAGTGTTGAATTTCAAGTCCGTGAAGTCGACAGCAAGTAATCAGTTAGTCAATTGGATCATTGTTAATTCTAAAAATTAAATTGGGTCTGGGTCACCAAAATCCGTTAGTTACATAGCCGTTAGGCCCAATCAAAATCCAATCCTAGGCCTGCAAATCTGTTAAAGTGAAAAAGAGAAACACACATTCAGGCCCCAAAATTTTCATAATTGGGCTTGCAAGCCTAGTAGTGCACTAGTGCTACAGTCCATGACCCGTGTATGGCTCTGAACATTCTCGTGTTCTGGAACCGAAGCCCATTATATATATATTTAATTATGACAAAACCCTTAAATCCACCCTTAAAAAATATCGATAGTAACACATTTACCTCTATAAAAAAAAAAGACAAATTACTTCTCCAAATCATAAATCAATACAAATTACTCCCTTTTCAACAAAAAAACGTCAACATTTTCTTTACTACGTCAGCATTTTTTAATAAAAAATGCTGAAAAAAATTATTTATATTGATTTATAATTTTAAATGACAATTTATCCTTACTTCTTTTTAAGGGATGATTGTGTCCCTATTAATATTTTTTGAAAATGCATTCGAGGGTTCTACCTTTAATTATTATTACCATTGTCAAAGGTCTTAAGAGTATGCTCGGATGGGCCTAAAACAAAGGGAAATCACTACCAACAGAAAAGCCAGTAAAATATTTTTCATAGCTGGGAGAAGTTAAAATCCTGAGAGTCGTCACCATTTCATCAACAAACTCATCAGTTACGGTAGAAGAAATAGATAGGTAGCCATTTGTTTCCACTTCTTACATGACAAGATTCTACTAATAAATAACTCCAACAATCAGATTTTGAACAACATAGAAAGGATTGTCATGTCCTAAGGTCCTGATATGAAGCCTAACTGGATATCATGATAGCTAATGCTAATCTATCCTCCACTATGGTATTCAATAATAACACAAGACATACTACTTCCATATAGAATATAAGAAAACATAGGGAACCAATCGAGTTAGCTTTGGAGATGCATGATCATGGCTCATCGAATTAACCTATTGGCAAAGAAATGTTGATATCTGTGGCTGAGTTCCTTTGTTCCTGCATGGGGGCCCAATTTTCTCTCTGGAAGGGACTGGCAGAAGAGAGGTTTGGTTTCATGATGTTATTTTGAAGTGTATGTCCATCAATCCCATCTTCTTTGTCAGCATTTGAAAGAGGTACTGCATCAGCCATGGTAGAATTTGGTGCAACTGTTGCTGGTAAGGACTCGTTCTTCGGCTTCTTTGGTTTCTGGTCATGATGATTAGCAGGTAAAAAACTGCCTACCACAACCTGACATTCCCCGCACAAGGAAACAGGTATAAGGATGCAATGCCATAAGATTCCAAATATACTAATACTTTCCAAGCCATAAAATAAGAGGCATTCCAAGACGAGCAACAACAAATTTTTGGCAATTTTGATACAAATCACACTCACCAGGTAATCAGCATTGTCTTTAGATCATTTCTCAACACTTAAAAATTAATACGCCATGCTTACTATGTTTCACTAGAGAAAACCTAAAGGCTAGCAGATGAGAACTAAAGATTGGACCTCAAAATGCACCAACAGAGGCACCCTAGGAAGAAGTAATGTTAAGTGAAAAACAATCCTTTTAAGGCTCCTAGAATTCAAATAACTTAACAGTGAAAGGCTGACCTGCACAGGACTAGCAGCTATTAGAAGCCCGGCAACACCTCCCCCAACAACACGACCATCCGGGCTTGCCAAGGAGACACTCATGCCACCAGATCTGCTTCTTGCTCCCTGAGTTTCAGTAGGCATGAAGGATCCAGACAACGAAAGTATCTCAAAGCGGCCCTGTAAAGAAATGCATTACATTAACAGTTATTCAAAACCAGTCATTAAAGATCAAGACAAATATTCCACACAACCGTATCAGTAACTGACCTCATATGTTAGAGTTCCACCAGAAGAATCTGGCTGACGAAGGGTAACATTTGAAATTACTCCATTAGCAGATAATATGCAAATAACCCGTGGTCCTTGTTGAGAAAATGATATAACCTTCATCGTTACATCCTTAAACAACCATAGCAAACCACAGATTATGCAAGGGAAAACCACAAACTTGTCAGGTTATGTAGGCAATATCTAAAAGTAATACAATTAAACTTATCATTTAACTGAATCCAATTAACACCATTAAAGAAGTAGAAACTAACTTTGATAATAAGATTTTTACTTTTAGTTTGAAGTTTTGCAAACAATGTGTAGTTTTCCTTGATTATTTTCCCCAATAATTTACAAATTAAATTCCAAGGCCCAAACTATAACCTAAGGGGTATTCAAGAAGATTTCTTGCCATCATGGAGTGATAGAAAAATGTGTACACTGGTGCAAAGCCCAAAGCTCCATCCAACATGCAATTACCTTTAATGAAAAGAAAATCTGTATGTCATACCCTAGCAAATAGAGAAGAGGCCATGAATGAGAATATATTGCATTTTGGCTGGCAGAAAAAGAATCCTAGGTGCTGCCTTTCTGATATCTTTCAAGTGTAAATAAAAAAAAAATATAAAGACAATATGTATACTCCATAACCTCAAAATGTTCTAAAAAACGAGAAGTTGGATTCAGCAATTATTATCCAATTTTAGCCTCTTATATTTCGTCAATCTTTGCAAACATTTCAACTCATTGAATCGCACTTCAACATTTGATAAGGAGAGAATTATGCACCCAGGACTAATTATTAAAGATATGAACAACAAAGGGAACCACCATAGTTTTGGAAGATAATTGACAGCCACAAAAAACAACAAAACCAGAATCATACAGACAAGATATGAATGATAACATAAAAGAATCAATAATACAGCATTCCAAAACCAATTAAGTTAAATTTCCTCCAGTTTCCCTTATATATTAAACCTACCTCACCCGGATTGACAGTGATAATGTGCGGAGTGAAATTTGAACCAACAGAATTAGCAGACCAGCCACCTAGAAAATAATTATTCCTCATCAGTAAATTTGAAATGTAGCATTCAAACTGTAAATAATAATTTGCTCCCATGGTAACCACACTTTAAGAGCTACTTGTCAAAATAGAGTCTCGTTGGAATTTCACATGCTGGCAACAGAAGAGTTTCAATTTAAAGTCATGAAGCATACATGCAAGATACCTTTCCTTTCTACAAGAAAACAGACAGCTTCCCCAGTGGAATCAAGAAATTCTGTAAGAGTCAGCAATAGAAACATTTTTTGCTGTCTCCTCTATCATGGGTAATTAAAAGGCGTAAGCCAATTAAGTAGTTTTGCTACTTTAACCAGGTTCTTCTGCTTCTCTTATTGGGAGGATCTTGTAATATAAAAAGGCAAGAGGCAACCCATCTTAGCCACAAGGAGAACATTCCTCAACCTCACAGGTCACACCAAACCCAGAAAAGCTCACATTTTTCATCTACAGAATGAGCATTGTACTTGCAAATCTAAGCAAGGGAACCTCATGATGAGGTCCCACTAAAACTTTAATGAAAATTATTTATGAAAGACTTCACAAAAGGAATCTCTTCAAAGGAGAATTCAGAAATTTCCAAATTGATCAGCAGAACCCAAAACACTAAGATAAAACTAAAAAATGACTTTGTTTGAGTGGTCCTAGGAACCGAAACAAGAATGCAAGCATTTATGAAACAAAAACAAGAATCATACCCAGTCTGTAAATTCATGGAGCTAAGTGAAGCAAAACAACAAGCTGCAACTTGAATCAAAGAAACAGCTTCAGAAAGAGTCTATTACCTAAATTCTCCATATCCAGTCCCTTGTGCTGCTTTTTCTGATAACCACTGGCTCGTCCTCTACCTCTCTTTCCACCAGAGTAGTCACCGCCTGCCGGAGGAGAGGATGAAATAGGCATTGGTGACAATGCCATTGCAACTGTTCCATCCGGTCCATATTTCCTAGGTCTACCTCTCTTCTTCTTTTCCATGGATCCCATCAATCCAACAGTAACAGGAGACCCAGCCATGGTAGATGATGCCCCAATCTGGCTGGCATTTTCTGTCCTTGGCGCTACATGATAAGCTGACGGAGCTTCTGCTCCTATCACCGTGACACCTGAATTCAACCCTTCCCTTGTCTCCATGCACAATATAAATTAAAAACCCGCTCACAACAACTCTAGATATTCACAGAATCAACATTCACTCTGAAACAAAATAGCTTCAGTTAAAAACTTTGAATGGTCTCATAATTGAAAAAAAAAAAAAAAATCGAGAATTTATATATTTCATGAGAACAACAAGAATCATAATAAATACATTTTCAACATGTCATTTCCATGGATATATTAAAGATGAAAAAAAAAAATGAAAAGGGAAAGATTATGACAAGAAATGTAAAAAAATTCCCAGATGAATATTTTGTTTTACTCTAAAACATAATAGTCCCTAGCTCAGATTATAAATCCATTACTAAACTTGATCTCCTCCTAATGCTCCAAGAAAAAAAAAAAATTGCACTTGAAAAACTTTAAAAATATATATACATAAAAAAGAAAGCATAAATTAGTAAATCAACTTTTAAGCTAAGAAATAGAGAGATCATGACCTGTAACTGTGAGTAGACCCCCCCAAAAAAAGCTTTTTTTCTCAGGACTGTTCTGCTTGGTTTCTTGACATTTCCAGTACTGCAACAAGTACTTGAGAAGCTTTTCTCAATAACCAAACAGAAATTTTCAAAGAAAAAATGATGGGAACAGGAAGACCAACAAAAATAAAATATAAAAATAAAAAGATCTCTTTTTTTGCTGAGTAAAAATTTATAGGAATTATTATAAGAAGAAGACCGGCTTCTGAAAACAGATGTCGGAATTCTCCGGTTTTTGCTGTCTCACCAAACAGAGACTACAGAGAGTATGGAAAGTGAAAAATTTTTTTAAGGGAAATGAAAATACCACTACAGTACAGTACAAAAATAAAGGTAATAAATGGGGAAAATGAAAATAAAATATTTTAATAATGATAAAAATAATTGTTATTTATTGCTAAGCCCGATATTATACAATTTGGTTAAGAGGAATTTCACGTCCGTTGGTGAAATTGAATTTGAAAATCCATTCAAATGGGCAAAACAGTAAATTGAATTTACTCTTTTTCAAAAATAAGAAAAACAAAAAGGACAAATTATGTGATAGTATAGTAACAAGAAAAACATTAAATATGACTGAATTCAATTTGAACCTGCTCTTCTTCTGCTGTACAGATTATAACGGGTTGGAAAATAAAATTTTTTAAATAATTTTTTTAATATTAAGTAATTTATATTTTATTT